CCCCGCCCCCCGGCGCGCACCGAGCTGCCGCTTGGCCTCGGCCCAGGTGGGCTCGCTGCCGCGCAGGATCATCACGGCCTGCAGCACCGTCTCCACGAGCCCCGGCGGGCGCCCGTACGACTTGATCTCCGTCAGGTCCTTCTTGTTCAGCGACTCCAGCGCCTGCCGCAGCGGCACCCGCAGCGTCACCCGCACCCGCAGCGGCACCCGCAGCGGCACCCGCACCACCCCGACACCCACACCCACAGCGGCACCCGCAGCGTCACCCACACCCGCAGCGACACCCGCACCCGCAGCGTCACCCGCACCCGCAGTGGCACCCGCACCTGCAGCGTCACCCACAGCGGCACCCGCACCACCCTGACACCTGCACCCACAGCGACACCCGCAGTGACACCCGCAGCGGCACCCACACCTGCAGCGTCACCCACAGCGTCACCTGCAGCGTCACCCACAGTGTCACCCGCACCACCCCGACACCCGCACCCGCAGTGTCACCCACACCTGCAGCGTCACCCGCACCCGCAGCGGCACCCACAGAGTCACCCACACCACCCTGACACCCGCATGCGCAGCGTCACCCACAGTGTCACCCGCACCACCCCGACACTGGCACCCACAATGTCACTGCCACCTGCAGCGGCACCCGCAGCGTCACCGGCACCACCCCGACACTGGCACCCACAGTGTCACCCGCAGCAGCACCCACACCACCCCGACACCGACACCCACAGCGTCACCGCTATCTGGAGCGGCACCCACAGTGTCACCCGCACCACCCCAGCACTGACACTGGCAGCGTCATCGGCACCCGCAGTGTCACCACCCGCGTCTCGTGGCCCCAGGGCCCCGTCCCTGCAGTGCCCGTGTCCCCATCCCTGTGTCCCCACAGCCCCACCCGTGTCCCCGTGTCCCCACAGCCCCATTCCTGCAGTGCTTGTGTCCCCACCCCCGTGTCCCTGTGTCCCCATCCCTGCTGGCACCAAGTCCCCTGCTCTGTGTGCCCATGACCCTGCAGCCCTGTCCCCGCGGCGCCCGTGTCCCCATCCCTGTGTCCCTGCCGTCCCCAAGGCCCCATGTCCCCTTCCCTGTGTCCCCAAGGGCTGACCCCTGGGTGCCCAGGGTCTCCATGTCCCCCCACCCTGGTGTCCCTGTGTCCCCCTGGCCCTATGTCTGCAGTGTCCTCGTGGTGTCCCCATGGTGCCTGGGATGTCCCCGCGGCGTCCCCAGGGTGTCCCCGTGGTGTCCCCATGGTGTTCCCATGGTGTCCCGCAGTGTCCCCGGGGTCTGTCTGCACTGTCCCCACAGTGTCCCCACGGTGTCCCGCAGTGTCCCTGTGGTGTCCCCGCGGTGTCCCCAGGGTCTCCCTGCCCTGTCCCCGCAGTGTCCCCAGGTTGTCCCTGCAGTGTTCCCACGGTATCCCCACGGCGTCCCGCAGTGTCCCCACGCTGTCCCCGTGGTGTCCCTGGGGTGTCCCCAGGGTGTCTCCGGGGTATCCCTGCAGTGTCCCCACGGTGTCTGCAGGGTGTCCCCGCAGTGTCCCCA